AGTCTTTTAAAACCTGATTTATGCGCTTTACAAATCCTCAGATCTATATATTTAACCCATGTGTATCATGTTGTAAATTAGATATTGTTTGTGTTTATTAGATTAATGTAAAAAATTTTAATGGTAAACATACGTGTACCTTTTATCCAGAAAAGATCGATAAATTACAATTTAACGCAAGAATTGGATTAATAGTTCTTTTTTTCAGTTTACAAACTTTTCCATTTAGTCGGCTATTATTGATTAGTTTTTTTCAACAAAATACACCTTAAAACAATATTATGTTTGTCCGGCCATTTGACTATTTAAGAGATAATAATCTGTTAAGATAAGGTAATATGAGGATTTTATAAGTAGTCATAACATTTAATAAATGAAACGATACACAATTAATTCAATAAAAAGCAGAATACTATCAGAAAATTCTTAACAACTGTTCTAACCTTATCTCTTTGCATTTTAAACATGTTACCAACCCTTTAAAGAAGAAACAAAATTGTTATCTTAGATGTTTTTTAATTCACTACAACATGAGAATAAATATTATAAATTGCTTGGTAGCATATTAAACTTGTGACACTATAGAAAGGTTCAGTTTTTTAAAATCGTTCTCTGTAAAGAATCAATGGGTATTTTTAGGCAGAAGCTAGGATCCACTTGATTTAGGGTACTTGTCCTTTGCTGATAATGAATCTGGTAGAACCCAAGCAAAATTCTTTAATCTAAAGGCAAAAGTGTCGCATTAATGCAAAAACATCAATTTTTGGGAAAAAGACTAACACTCTGTATTGTGGATACGATTAGTCATAGAAAGTTTATTTTGGTACCAAACTGTTCGGAAAACTCACGTTATCATTCGCTATAATGAAATATTTCCCCCACAAAATATCAGAAAAAAAGCTATTTCAAAAAAAATATATAAATATATTAGCTGTAAAGGAATATTTCCTCCAAATATTACCAGTAAAATATGTATTACCTGAAAATCCTGTTATAGGGCAAAACACATATTTTTTAAAATTAATTTTCTTATTTTCAAAGTCATAAAATACTAACAAATGAGCTAATTATTACACTATTGAATCGCAAAGAAATATATACTTTTAAAATTCTTATACTATATGCATAAAAATATACTTAATTTTACATCTAAAAAGCAGGTTTTGGCCAAATTTTACAAAATTCAGGAACGTTCTGTAACTCTGTTATAGTATGTGTTTTATGTAGGTACAGACAGGCCTAATTATAATTTATGAAAAACGATGAAAATAATTAAATAATGGTAACGATAATGATGATTATGAATACGAATAAACTAGGCCTATAATAAACATAAAGTTTGACGTGTATATGTAGAGTTGGGCCGGTGTAGATGCAAATTAGGTATTATGTGTTTTTGAGTAGGAATTTGGCACGGTGTCTGCATTTTGAAAGGAGTTCGTGCCTTTTGTTCAAAGTAGATTGTTTGTC